GGGCAACACTTGTTTTTATTTACCTTTCTTGAGCACTCAACGTTGAAGATGTTCTTTTTATCCTCTGCTGCTTGAGCTCGCTACACGTTGTATCTGTCTCAAAGTGGCTACGATTATCAACCATGGCCATGGATCAGGTAAATCCTGCCGAAGACTTTGAGAAATGGATCCGTATGGCTACGGATAATGTAAGTGGACCCCCCCCATCGTTTCTCCAACATTGGCATCGATACTAACAACTTGTAGAAAATCAATGCACAGAACTCATGGGACCTTGCGTTGATCGATTACTTCCATGATCTGTCTGTCTTGAGAGATGGTGAGAGTATCAACTTTCAAAGAGCATCAGCAACACTAGACGGATGTGTCAAAATCTACTCTTCAAGGGTCGACTCAGCAGCCACTGAAACTGGACGTTTGATCAGTGGGCTGGCCACGAGGAAAAGGGATCAGCAGGAGGTAAATTTTGATGACAACTCTGAGGATGAAGCGTTGACCAGTGCACACAGGCAGAAAGTCCACAAGTCTCATAACTCGAAGAACACTCTCTTGGAGTTCGATCAGATCAAAATCAAGAAGATGGATCTGGAGTTGTACGGAGATCCGCTTTTTAAAAGAGCCCTCGCTGATTTTGACGAAGGTGGTTCTAAAAGTCTGTTGCTTAATATGCTAAATGTTGATAGCAGAGGGAAGATCGTCTTTGATACTACTGATTCTGTCAAGCTTACAAATGACTACGACACTGCTGATAAGCCGGACGAATTGGAACCAACAGATGGTAAGATAATTGACGACATTAAGGCCCTAGGTGAAAAACATTTAGCTGGTATATTCGCAGCATCTGTGACGATTTGTCCATCAGTTGGTCAGATACGCTGTGTTGTTGATCAGAAGAGTAGCTCTGGAGATTTACTAAAAGGGTTGGAGGATATTGAGCTTCCAGAAGCCCCAGATTACAATGTTGACCATCACCACACAACTTACCAAGACTTTGAGATATCATACGGTCAAACAGCAGAGCTCGAGCCGGAACAGAATAACGTCACTGGTGTGGATAAGTTTCCAGAAAACAGAACATCGATCTTTTTTGATGAGGGGGATAATGACTTTGATGACTATGGAATGAGTATGCAAATGTTGTTTGATGAGAGTAAATCCTATGCAAGAGAAGAAGATATAATGGAATTGGAGGATCCTATAATCAACATACCCGATGACGAGCTATTGGCATATTTTGATGATAATCATAGACGAAACTGGACTGGGCCGGAACACTGGAAAGTCAAGAAGATCAAGCAAGGCCTTCTCCGAACAGAAAGTACTACGCAACATGTGCCTCCAACAGATACAGTAAGGGCTAAACTCCATACATTTACTATTGATTTTTTATCTGATCATACACCAGATCAAGAGAAGATGTTTGAAACGGCACAGGGGTCTTCGATTTGCATTCCAAAAGCCCGCTGGAGAAGTAAAGACAACAATGTACTTCCGGATGATCGTAACTTCAAGACAAAAGATTTCATTACATTGTTTACAAAAGGCACCTTGCTCAATATGAAATTCAATCACGTACGAAACATTGATAATGCCATTGACGAATCTTTGTACGCTGAGTGTACCCAGACGAAGAGCAGACCTACTGAGATCAACAACCCAGATTTTTATAACGATAATGATGCCGGTTTTGATGATGACTATTTACAGGATGATGGACTGTCTGCGGTACCTCAAATACTGGCTAGGAATCAGACCTCACAGCCACTGAAGTACTCAAGAGTTTCCAAAAAGGTTGATGTCAAACTTTTAAAGGACAATATGTGGAGCACCTTGAAGTCCGAGATCTTATCAAGTGCACCTATGCCCGCTGAAACTGCCACTATATCTAAGACTCAAGAACTCAAGTTCAGTCAGGTTGTGTCAGATCTTGGTGACAAGTATGATTCAAACACGAAGAGGGACCTGTCAACGAGTTTCTGCTTCATCTGTCTGTTGCATCTGGCGAATGAAAATGCATTTACAATTACAGACAATGAAGACAACTCAGATCTGATCATCAGAGACTTTCCTACGCCTTCTACATGACCAACATTACAATACATGTACGAATGACAAATAAATAATCCATTAGTTTTCTAAAATATTCAAAGGGAATGTACGGAATATCTTCACCATTCTTGGGCAGTGACACCGTATTTACTCTTCTTAGTACCCACGATTGGCTTGATGAGCTTAGAACCACCTTCCAAGAAGGAGAATTTATCCCTTCTCATAGACTCGTACTTCAAAATGTACTCTTCCTTTTGGAGAGTCAGACCAATGTCATCAAGACCATTGACAAGACAATGCTTTCTGAATGGTTCAATGTCAAAGTGTTCAACAAGGACTTGACCCTCTGGACCCAAAATCTGTTGGTTTGGCAAGTCAATAGTGAGCTTTTCGCCCTTTTGAGCAAAGTCATACAACTTCTCTAAGATCACCTCCTGTGGAAGTCTAATAGGAAGCAAGAAGTTCTTAAAGGAGTTGTTGTAGAAAATATCACCGAATGATGGGGCAATAATAGATTTGATACCGAAATCCTTCAATGCCCAAGGAGCGTGTTCTCTAGAAGAACCACAACCGAAATTGTCACCAGTGACGAGCAAAATCTCAGCTTGTCTGTATGGCTCAACGTTCAAGACAAAGTCTGTCTCGATATCCTTACCATCTGGCCCTTTGATGAAACGTGATTCGTAAAAGAGACCATCTCTCAAACCAGTACGCTTAATTGTTTTTAAGAACTGCTTTGGAATAATGGCATCGGTATCAACGTTGGCTCTGTCGAGAGGGGCAGCAATAGACGTCAATGTAGTGAATGCGTTACTTGCTGAACCGGCAGCGCCAGCAACTGGTGTCTCATCAACAGTGTGATCAGAAGGTGGAACATCGGCAAGCTCATCTTGTTCAGCCTCTTCCGTAGTCTCACCAGGTTCAAGTGGTTTCTTGGTGTGCTCGTAAACAGCATCTTGAAGTGCCTTGTCCTCCTCTGCTTGTTGGACGGAAATCTTTGGTGAGTCTGGGTCTGAGTAAACAAATTCTCTGATATCAACAAAGTGGCCAGTAACACCGGCTGCAGCAGCCATAATTGGAGACATCAAGTGTGTACGAGAAAGAGCACCTTGACGACCTTCGAAGTTTCTGTTGGAGGTGGAAGCACAACGCTCTTCTGGATCCAAGATATCTGGGTTCATACCAAGACACATTGAACAACCAGCCTCTCTCCACTCGAAACCAGCAGCTCTGAATATCTTATCAAGACCTTCCTTCTCAGCTTGCTTCTTCACAAGACCTGAACCAGGAACAACGAGACAACGCTTCACATTTGGAGCTTTAGTCTTTCCCTTGACGACTCTGGCAGCAGCTCTCAAGTCTTCGATACGGGCGTTTGTACAAGATCCAATAAACACCTTGTCAATTGGGATCTCTGTCAATGGAGTATTTGGTGTGAGACCCATGTATTTGAGGGCTCTTTCCATACCAGCCTTCTTGAGTGGGTCATCAACCTTTGATGGATCTGGGACACGGCCAGTAATTGGGAGAGCATCTTGAGGAGATGTACCCCAAGTGATGGTTGGAACAATGTCGGTGGACTTGATAACGATGTTTTGATCAAATTTAGCACCCTCATCGGTGTGAAGAGTTTTCCAGTACGCAACAGCCTTTTCCCATTCATCACCCTTTGGAGCCAATGGACGGCCCTTGATGTAATCAAATGTGATTTGGTCAGGTTTGATCATACCGGCTCTTGCACCAGCTTCGATAGCCATGTTACAGATGGACATTCTTGCTTCCATGGACAAGTTCTCAATGGCCTTACCAGCAAACTCAATGACATGTCCGGTACCACCAGCGGTACCGATCACACCAATAACGTGCAGCACTAAATCCTTAGATGTGATACCTGGGTTGAGATCACCATCGATGAAGATTCTCATGTTCTTGGACTTTGCTTGGATGATGGTCTGTGTAGCAAGGACGTGCTCCACCTCGGAGGTACCAATACCAAAGGCCAATGCACCAAACGCACCGTGAGTAGCAGTGTGAGAGTCACCACACACAACCGTTGTACCAGGTAAGGTGAACCCTTGTTCTGGACCAACAATGTGCACAATACCTTGTCTCTCATCAGTCATACCAAAGAAGGTAACGTCAAAGTCCTTCACGTTCTGCTCCAGCGTTTGAACCTGAAGCAACGAATCCTGTTGCTTGATGAACGTCTCTGTGGACTTGAAGTTGGCTCTGGAGTCCGTTGGGATGTTGTGATCAACTGTGGCCAAGGTACAATCTTTTCTTCTGACTTGTCTTCCAGCATTCTTCAACCCTTCAAAGGCTTGTGGGGATGTCACCTCGTGCACCAGGTGTCTGTCAATATACAGCAAGTTTGAGCCACTCTCGTCCTTGTAGACGATATGGTCTTCGAACACCTTATCGTAAAGGGTTCTTGGTTCTGTCGATGCCGTCATGGTTGATTAAAACAATCTTTAATACCTTGAATGGTGTTCCCAAGAGGTGGGAAGAAGTGGAAGCGGTGAGGAATTGAAAGCTTTTTTTATGCGAGCGGCAATGGCCATGCGATGATTCATCGATGCGCCGCTTTCCGGCCCGGTCACCGGCGAAACGCCCAGCGGACCAATCAGAGACAGCGTGAACATAATACACTGATCACGGTGCTCAGCGAGGGTTGCCTAGGCAGTGTCAATGGTGGCCATCAGCGCTGGAAGTTCAATTGAGCCTCTGCTCTGTATGTGGCGTAGCTGGCATAGCTGGCGTTCACACACGGTATTGTTGTGTATCGACACCGCCAATGAACTGGTGTGTATATCGAGTGGTGATGCCATAATCGTCGCAGAGCGGTACCGGAGAAGGCCCATCAGGAAAAAGGGAGGTTCCTGGTGCAGTGTGCGCGGACCAGTGTGGGCGGACCAGTGGGGCCAAGTACGCCGCGGAGGATCATCTTGGCCAGCCTGGCGAGGAATCACAGGCGGATTACGTCATATGGAGCTACAGTTGGACTGGAGGAGTTCATGACTGTCTCCTATGGCAATGTTGGCACGAGAGAAAGGGAAGGTCCTGAGATATGGAGGAGTGGAAAGAGTAACTACATGTGAGTTTGTACTATAACGAACGGGATTATATGATAAGGAAGTTAAGTAATCAGGTTATAGTTAATCAGAGCGTCAGTTTACCTTAAAAGGTACGCAAGCTCAGCATCAGCCTCAAATTCGGCACCCAGGTATAGGAGTCAGGAAAGAATAAGCCAAGGTATAATAATAGGAGTTCAGAGCTAGGAGTTTTGAAGATTATTATATTTGGCATTGTGCAGAAGAAGAGGTTTCAGTTGGTAGCGTCTCGGAGTGGTAGCGTCTCAGAGTGGTAGCGTCTCGGAGTGGTAGCGTCTCGGAGGTTGGTGTGCAGAGCGAGAAGCCTCGCCATGGCGGCGTCTCGAAATGGTCGTCTCAGAAGATTCAGGAATACTGAGGTCATCTCTGGTGTTCACAGAGCCCGGCAGAGAAGAGCAAGATGGGACCAGAAACTAGGACTCCATAGCCACCAGACCTGACAAGCTCGCCAAAGGAAGAACGCAGATGGAAAGAAACAAGAAGAAAGAACCAAGCGTCATTCGTACGGCAAGCTAGACCATTTCAAACAAATCTTCCCACACGTACGGAAAGATAGTGCAAGAAGATATGTGGATTCTTAAAAGAGGAAATCAAGTTCCTCAGCTCCGCCATATCAGCGACTTGGACCGCAACTGATAATGGCAAAGTCAACTTACTGAGACGCCTCCGTCGTGTGAGATTTCCCGCCCTGCACACAGTCAAGATACAGTGCAGAGGGCAGGGCCGGAAATCAGGACCTGTCCCTCCTTTTATATTCTTTTTCGATAATTTCCTTTTACATGTAGCTAAATAATTTGTGTGAGACATGTATGGGTTACTCCATTTTGCATTTGAGGCATTTATGGATACCGCAACGTGTTATTGGCTGACCCATAGACCATGCTTCCCCCCGTTTTCCTAGCTTTGCTGATCTTATCAGTGTAATCTGTGTAGTTAATATGGATGAGCAAAAATCGGGGGAGGGATAATTAAAGCAAGTTGATCTTAAAGAAACG